TAAATTGAGTAAATACATGTAAATATATTGAACTGTCATACCGAGTACATAGATTGAATCGCCGACGCTCAGTTTGCCGCAGTATATACGCGTAAAGCCAATTAGGCCCATCAACTGTTTGTCTTGGTCTGTGAGGGCTGTGGCTGTGTCCTTCTCTTCGCTGTCCGTCTGGTTCTTGCCGATCGGTGTGGTTTCAGTACCTTCGTCTGTCGAGTTAGGATGGTAATAAGTGATAAGCATATCATTGCACAATCGCCAAGGGGTAATAAGTATGTCCAACAACCACAAAACAGTTGTGAATTGTTGGATATGTTTGGCACTCAGACCTTAGGCGCGTGTGAATTGTATGGGACTGCACGGCCAAGTGTAACATGTATCAACACTTGTAGTCAAACACCGCACCGTACAACACTCAGATTCTATCTATAGCTAAAATACCTACACGCATACACACCTGGCACGTGCTCGGCATCGGCCAGCTTCATCTTCTCAATAAGTTGAGCCCGTTTACTGGCCATCTGTTCCTGAGTGAGTGATTTGGCCTGGTTCTGGGGCAAGACGTCCCAGTCAAACGACTCCATCTTCGACACATAGGCCAGCAAGGGTTCCGCGTTGCCATGCTCTGCGTCCCTGGACACAATACGAGAGCCCACCACATGAGTGCAAGCGTAGCCGCAGATGCATCAATCACATACACAAGCATGTTTATGTATACAGTTGTGCACGCATTGACAGATTTGTGGGCAGACTCTACGGTGGACCATTCTCCCTAGATCATCCCATCATTAACACAGACACCAGCCGGTGGTCGCATCAACTAACGCCTTATCACGGAGCAAACTACAAGACTATATCGTAACCAGACACATCTGTTCATACCTGGGCAAGTCCCCTAACTTCGTGTTCAGAGAGAGGTAGTCGTACATCTGCTGTGTTAGTATTGGGAAGGTCTTCGGCTCGGCTCCGCCATAGTACAGTTGTGATTTCCTGTCATCAGGTAACTCCAACGGTGAAGGTATCTGACGAGCAACCATGTCTAGTACCGCTTGGGGCAGGGGCAACCACCCACCCATGAGGGTCTGCAGAAGCACTCGGCTTTCGCCCTGAAAAAGAATACAAATAAAAATATATATTACAGTAGTGATATTAACCTTCAAATGCTTAGAAGAGATATATAAATAAATATATAGGGTATATATATATATATATATATATATATATATATATATATATATATATATATATATATATATATATATATATATATATATATATATATATATATATATATATATATATATATATATATATATAGTATTAGTAGTTATAGTATTAGTAGT